CCACTGGCCCACAGTTCTATATTCAAAATGGCTTCAGTGTGGCTCTAGTGCAAGGCTCCTGACATGGCTACAGTGTGGCTATAGTACACGGCTCCTGACATACAGTCTCCTTGGTGAAGTGGACAGCGTGCTGTCCTGGCAGTTAGCCGTGTCCCCCAGTGGGGAGCATCGCAGAGCAATAAGCATGCATCCCACTAGCCACCTGACTGGCTGTGCCTGGTTTGTTCAGTGGCTGATGTGTACCCCATACCCAACTTGCTGCTTCCAGAACTGTCTATTTCCTGAATGATTTTTTTAAAGATTTATTTTTTTTCATTACAAAGTCAGATATACCGAGAGGAGGAGAGATAAGAAGATCTTCTCTCTGATGATTCACTGCCCAAGTGACTGCAACAGCCAGTGCTATGCTGATCTGAAGCCAGGAGCCAGGAACTTCCTCCAGGTCTCCCATGTGGGTGCAGGGTGCCAAGCTTTGGGCCATCCTCGACTGCTTTCCCAGGCCACAAGCAGGGAGCTGGATGGGAAGTGGAGCTGCCAGGATTAGAACCGGCGCCCATATGGAATCCCGGTGCGTTCAAGGTGAGGACTTTAGCCACTAGACCACACTGCCAGGCCCTGTTTTAAATTTTAAATCATAATCTTTTGCAATTGAAGCAAGTTACTTTTTTTAAAAAAAGATTTATTTTTTATTATTTTGTTTATTGGAAAGGCGGATATACAGAGAGGAGAGACAGAGAGGAAGATCTTCCGTCCGATGATTCACTCCCCAAGTGAACGCAACAGCCGATGCTATGCCGATCCGAAGCCAGGAGCCTCTTCCGGGTCTCCCATGCGGGTGCAGGGTCCCAAAGCTTTGGGCCATCCTCAACTGCTTTCCCAGGCCACAGGCAGGGAGCTGGAAGGGAAGCGGGGCTGCCGGGATAGAACCGGCGCCCATATGGGATCCCGGGCGTGCAAGGCAAGGACCTTAACCACTGTGCCACCACGCCGGGCCCAGAAGCAAGTTACTTTTAAAAGCAACAATTTGTCTGGTGACTGACCATGTGCTCTGCCGGAGGGCTCCAGTGTGAGCCTGGGAAAGCAGTTGAGGATGGCCCAAAGCCTTGGGACCCTGCACCCGCGTGGGAGGCCTGGAAAGAAGTTCCTGGCTCCTGGCTTTAGATCGGTGCAGCATCGGCCATTGTGGTCACTTGGGGAGTGAATTATCGGACTGAAGATCTTCCTCTCTGTCTCTCCTCCTCTCTGTATATCTGATTTTTACTAAAAATAAATAGATAAATAAATTTAAAACACTAACAAAGCAGTAATTTGTGTATGCTGCCACGTGCCTGGAGACACTCGAGAAGTGGACTGGTAACGGTGTTTGTCCCAGAAGCTTGTGACATAGGGTAGTCGGGTGGCATTGCCTTGAAGGTGTGAGGGTGAGCCATGATCTGGAACAGCCCACCAGCCTCTCCACCCCACAGAATGTGCTGGAATTTAGCAGCTTCCTCTTAGTGACTATAAAGGAGGCAGCTAGAATTAAGTCCCCTGAGCAGAGCATGTGACACTCCGCACAGGTGGAGTGCCTACCCCAGAAAGGCTTGACTTTTCCTGGAATATTCAGTTTGGGATTATAAGAGAAAGTACAGATATGTTCACAGACCGGGTAAACAGAGAAGCCAGGCTGTGGGACACTGCTGAGAGAGGACAGATGCGAGGGACACTGTGTGAACTGGCCAGATGACACGCGGGAGCCTTGAGCACCAGAGGCCATGATAGGGGCCTGTATTTGGTCCACAAGTGTCAGTGCGGGGGCAGGAGGCGAGCCGGACTCGGGCACTGAGCAGCTTTCATTACTGCCTCCTGGGTAGATTGGCTCCCAGGAAATCAGCATGAACAGAGGGGACCTCAGAAAGGGGGTGACGGGACAGCCAGTGGTGAAGCTGAGGGCGCAACACCTGATGTGGACCAAGAGGGCAGGCTGCCAGAAGCAGCACCCAGGGACTGCCCACTTCAGAGGACAGAACAGGACCAGTAGCATATGGTGAAAAACGTGGACTTACTGTCCTGCGTGGGAAGGATGGTTCGGACGTGCCATTGAGTTCTCTTGCCCTGCCTGCTGTCAGCCTCTGGCTCTGGTTAGGCTCAGCATAACGCAAAACATGTTTAGCAGCAGCTCGCCGCGCGTTTGATGCCAGCCCTGCCCGGTGATGCAGTCAAGAGGCCACCAGCCAGAATGCATTTGAGGAAAATAAGTGCAGAAGGGGGAGGGGAGACTGAAACAGAGGCAGGGCAGAGACAGAAGTGGTCACCCTTTCCTGCCAGAGGTGGCGCTTTGGCCAGATTTGTGACTACCAGCATAACATTCTGATCGTTCGAAATTAAAATGTGTACAGCTGAAAAGTAAATTCTTTTGTGGTTGTGAGCTAGGGAGGATGTCAGTTGTTGGGGTGAAGCCCAGCTAAACCTGTGCTTTAGCAAGAGCAGGGGCTGCAGCAAGGAAGCAGGGAGCTGTTCATAATGGCCTCCATTTCAAACATGTATCCATGGGACAGGCGCTGTGAAGCTGCGGGCCAAGCTTCTGCTTGCAGTGTCATCAGCTCTTACGACAGCTCCACTGCCGAACCAGCCCCTGCTGACGCTCCTGGAAAGCAGCTGTAGACGCTGCAAGAACTTAAGCCCCTGTACCCACGTGGTAGACCCCGCTGGAGCTCCAGGCCCCTGACTGCTGCATGGCCCGGCCCCGGCAGTGGTAACTGTCTGGGGAGTGAACCAATAGGTGGAAGGTCTCTCTCAATCTCTCTCCCCCTCTTTGTATCCCTCTCACTCTCACTCGTCTCACCCCACTTTTCAGATAAATAGATCTATTTTTCAAAAGCACATCTAACATTTGAACTGCAGCTCTGGATTCCTTTACACACACTGATTTCCGAGCTGTCGAGTTCCATTTCATTGGGTCAGGATTGTGCCAAGTCAGAATGTCCTGTGCCCGGAGCACTGGAGGGTCCTCACTAAGAACTCATGATGAAGCCGGTTCTGTGTGCGACATGGAACACTAACCAAGCGCCCTGCCCCAGCCCGTCACCACTGAGAAGCCTGCAGGCAGGAGGAGGAACGGGGAGCTATGTTATAGGAATGGTCGCTTTGACTTCCTTATGCCCAGAAACAGCTGTTGGCTTATCTGGCCTTTGAACTCTTGTGTGCTCAGCAGACAATGTGAGGAGACTGCACTGAGAGACTGTTGTCAGGAAAATCTTGCAGCCCGTTAGTAAAGGAATGAGGCCTCCCTGGGCTCCGCTGCTTGTCGTTGATACTGAATGCTCAGGAGGCCCTCTGCAAACACTGCCTGCTGGTGCGCGCAGGGTCAAGATCAAAGTGTCAGGTTCTGAAAGTGCAAGTTCCCAAATCCTGCCTTTTCCCTCTTACGAGTCCTAATGTTAGAGGACCTACTTGTATTTTTAAATGCAAACAGTCCTGGCATTTGAATTTTACTGTAAGATTCCATTTCATTTTAGGAAAGTTTGTCTAAAACAAAATCTGTCCTTTCAAAAGGGATGTGTTTGTCCTCAGTGTATGTAATCCCTCCCCCACTCCTTAGGAAATGTGTATTCACCTCCTCTCATTTCTTTCCCTCTATGCCATTCTTTTGCGGCCCAAGCAGTGCCTCTTCAGCCGTTGATTTGAGATACAGGCAGAGTGCTCTGAGGTCATTAGAAAGAGCAGCGAAGGCCAGGTCTGACGTCTGCATTGAACTGTTTCTCCCCTGAGGCCGGAGCAGATATGGGTTGAAGGCCATGGTGCGTGCATGTGGGAGTGTGCGTGGCCAAGGACCTTGGAGTCTGGGGACACTGCTCTGCACACATACTGCCGTGTGACCCTGAGAACATAGGGACCCCGGGTGAGACCGTGGTGTAAGGACTGCGTATGCCAAGCACTTGCGTTTGTTTATGAAGTCTTTCCCCGTACGAAGCTCCATGCCAAATTCCAGGCACACTTTAGGAAGTCTCACCTCCCGGGAGCACTGAGCTACCAATGCAGAGACACGGCCTTATGTTGAGAAGCTTGGCCAAGTTCACACACACAGTAGGTGCTGGAGCAAGAGTGCCACCGCCACATCAGTGTATGTCAGAGACCACTGCCCTGAGCCACTGGTATGTGTTGCAGCGTGGCCTTTACCTGCCAGGGAGGATGGGGCGTAGGGGTGTGCCGAAAGCCAAGTTCACGGTGGTGCGTGTTCCCAGCCTCCTTGGACCACAGCACGGTGCTTGGCGTCACAGACGGAGGTGTGAGAGCCAAGGAGGCTCAGGAGTGCAGAGCTGGCGCGGTCCAGCAGACGCGGACGGAGGTGTGAGAGCCAAGGAGGCTCAGGAGTGCAGAGCTGGTGCGGTCCAGCAGACGCGGACGGAGATGTGAGAGCCAAGGAGGCTCAGGAGTGCAGAGCTGGCGCAGTCCAGCAGACACCGACGGAGGTGTGAGAGCCAAGGAGGCTCAGGAGTGCAGAGCTGGCGCGATGCAGCAGACACCGACGGAGGTGTGAGAGCCAAGGAGGCTCAGGAGTGCAGAGCTGGCGCGGTCCAGCAGACACGGACGGAGGTGTGAGAGCCAAGGAGGCTCAGGAGTGCAGAGCTGGCGCGGTCCAGCAGACACCACTGTCTTGCAGCACATACATGCACTGCGTCTTTAACCTTAGGATGTTTAGTGGGTTGTTTTGCTGTTGTTGTTGTTTTGTCTCTACAGTGAAAGTTCAGTTATCCACACAGACAGAGGGCAGCCAAACATAGCTACCTATACAGAGCCTGTGATCATAGGAGCTATTTTTATGTGACTTCATTAAGAATCGACATTTTCCTAGATCTCTCTGCTCGATTATCCCGGACAGTAATGAGTTGTCCTGACCCCTGAGCACTGATCAAGTAGGGGAAGGGCAGGCGGTCATGTTAAAGGGAGGCTGCCGAGTTCCTTCAGAAGCCCAACTTCGGATGTGCTGACGCCCCTTCCTCCCTCTGCATTCATTGTAGAACATACGCTGTCAGGAGGATACGAGATGCCTTCAGAGAAAACAAAAACGTTGAGGATCCTGTCAGAATCCAAGCCTTAGTGAGCAAAGCCAAGCGGGACCTGGAGATGATCCGGCGACAGGTAAGATGGCTCCGTGGCGCCCTGCTGTGAAGAGCGCCCGGCTCTGACTACCCCCTCTTGGTGTTGGCGACACGGTGCACTAACGCAGACATGGAAGGATGAAGCAGCGTATTACCAGGTCTTGAAAGCGAGGACAAAGGTTCTGGTGTTCCAGACCTGCTCGAAGGGCACCCTTCTGGGGAGCTGGCAATGCCAGAGGTGTGAAGCACTCTGTCTTGACAAGCTGTACCACATGTATGTGTATGGGCATCCGTGGCATGTGTGCAGATGGACATATATGGATGTATTCTCCTCCTCCTTTCTCCTCCCAAGCCAAGGTTAAGTAGAAGCGTTGCTCTGTTCCTAATGGCGCTGCCTTGGGCCTTGCCCCACAGAACTGCAGATGGGCAATGGCTGCAGGTGCAGACAGCTGAGGCGCTATCACCCTGGGCAATGGGCGATGGATGGCTGCAGGTGCACATAGCCGCGGCACCATCAGCCTGGGCGATGGCTACAGGTGCACATGGCTGAGGCGCTGTCACCCTGGGCAGTGGGCGATGGCTGCAGGTGCACATGGCTGAGGCGCCGTCACCCTGGGCAATGGGCGATGGCTGCAGGTGCACATGGCTGAGGCGCCGTCACCCTGGGCAGTGGCTGCAGGTGCACATGGCTGTGGCACCATCAGCCTGGACAATGGCTACAGGTGCACATGGCTATGGCGCCGTCACCCTAGGTGATGGCTGCAGGTGCACATGGCCGCGGTGCCGTCAGCCTGGGCGATGGCTGCAGATGCGGGCGGCTGAGGCGCCGTCACCCTGGGCGATGGGCAGTGGCTGCAGGTGCAGACACCTGAGGCACCATCACCGTGGGCAGTGGGCAATGGCTGCAGATGCGGGTGGCTGAGGCACTGTCACCTTGGGTGATGGTTGCAGGTGTAGTCATTCTCCCTGTCCCCCTGTGACACAGCTGTAATCACCATGGCTTCTTGATAGCGCTTTCTGACGGTAGCTTGGTTGTAGATTGTGGAGGGAAGGTCCCTCGCAGTCTTCCTAAGTTCCCGTAGTGTTTTGGCAAGGGATTCTTTGGCATCATCGGGAGGTGCTGGCATGGTTAATGTTATGTTAGCAGCAGTTTCTCCTGACCCTTCTTGATGCTTGGCCCTAAACAGAACTTAGGTGTATATATAAAACTGCACAGTGCATTTTAAAGCCCCCTGTGCTCTTCACAATGGAGTACTCCCTCACAGCCTGACATTTCAGCCTCTGACAAGCCTCCTTGGGTTCTTGCATTTGTCATGCAGTAGAATTCATTACCGCATTCAGACAGGCCAGGAAATGATCTTTAGCTAACAGCATGAAAAGATAATACAGTGGTCAGAAAAAGAGACTGATCTGTGCGTTCACATGCACTGTGACAGCGCTGGATAGATGAGTCGCCGTTTTTTGGAAACTTGAGAAGGATGGCATTTCCCAGGCACCAGTGCTTAAATTTCACGGGATCCTTTGGCAGTGGAATTCAGGGGGAAAGCAGGGAGCTAGGGATCTTGTTCTGCATGAACTCTGCAACAATCAGTTCTTTCACACTTTGTCCGTGAGGGATTTGGGAAGCATCTCTCAGCTGCACAGAAAAGGTGTTGTGTAAATAAGCCCTACCCTGGCTTCTTGTACTGGGGCTTCTGTCTGAGTGACCCGCACTGGACGGCCCCAGGGCGTCAGATCAACCCAGAAGCAGACACTGGAGCAGGGGCTTCTGTCTGAGTGACCCACGCTGGACAGCTCCAGGGCGTCACAGCAGCCCAGAAGCAGACACTGGAGCAGTCTGATGGATTGCAGGGTAAGGGTGCCCTCCCCAGGACTGCCTGGTGACTGCACCTGCCTGATCAGGCAATGTCAGGCTGCCACCTTGCAGGGCCAGGGCCACCTCACTAACAAAGGGTGGTCCTCAACCTCCCCAGAGAGGCCCTAACGTGAGAAAGCGTGGGAGAACCACCTAGCCAACGATGCCCAGCTGCTGACAAGCTTCTGCTCCAGCTTCGTTCTGTTTCACCTTGAGACTGTTCCTAGACCCAAGTGTGATGTTCGCCCAACGGAGCCCGAGATACGACAGCTTCCCTGAGCATTCCCGCCGCACGCAGATGGCGGAGGGCCACTGGCCAAAGGCCTAACCAGAGACGGAGCCTGTCTGCTTTCCCACTAACCCCCGCAGCCTGCTCCCTCCCCCGCCCTACGCACCCACCCTCCTCTATTCCCCACACGGCATCACCAGGCCGAACTTCCTTGAAAGACAGAAGCAGATCAGGTCACAGCCCTCCAGTGTCCTCCAGGCCCTGTCCCGCTGATGATCAGACCGGGGGTCTTCCCACGGAGGCCGTCTCTTGTCTTCCCCGCTCTCTTCCTGCCAGCCCTGGTGTGCCCTCAGCAGCTGTCTCGCAGAGCCTTTCAGCCTTCTGCCCAGTCGAGTCCCTCTGCACGCTTGCCCTCCTCTCCAGCAAGGCCTGTGCTCAGCCTACCCTTCTCACAGAGGCCCCCCCGATAACGCTATGGCCGATGCCCCCCTCAACCATGGGGGACACATTCCAAGACAACCCCCTCCCCAGGGCCTACCCGGAATCACTGGACATCACCAAGCATTGCATATGCAGTGCTGTTTTGCTTACCTCTGCATGGAAGCTCGAGGCCTCTTGCACCTTAAATAAGCCCTCATTGCATACTGTACCTCGAACTTGCGTAGCTTCAGGTGGGAAAGCAAAGTGACATGAGTCCTTTAGGTTCTTTCACAGTTTCACGAATAGAAGCCTGTTTCTACTGTAGATCCTAGCAACCTCACCATACAGCATTTTTTCCCAAAGTGAAAAATGTTCACCTTTTCACCTAAAGGAAGCAATTAAAAAGAAAAAAAAAAGATAATATTTATTTATTTGAATTATAGTTAGAGGGAAAGACAGATTTTTCCATTTGCTGGTTCATGCCCCAAATGGTTCCAACAGCCAGACCTGATTCAGTCTGAAAGCAGGTCTCCCCCATGGGTGCTGGGGCCCAAGGACTTGGGCCATTCTCTGCTGCTTTCCCATGTGCATTAACAGGGAGTGCATTGGAGGTAGAGCAGCCAGGATTCAAACCAGCGCGCATATAGGACGCTGGTATTGGAGTTGATGACTGCCGTGGCACAGTGCCCATCCCTTAAAGAAAACACTTCATCACATGTCTGACACAGCTGATGCCCAGTTGGGGGCTGATGCTGAGACCCCCTAGGTGCTGTCCGTCTGATAACCAGGAAGGCTGCTCGGGAGCATGGGCTAGGAGCCCGCACAGGCGGAGCACGCTGGCCCAAGCGCGGGCCACGTCCCAGGTGGGACACAGCAGTCTGGTGCAGGATCTCAGCATGCTACTCAGAACAATGCAGTTCAAAACTTACCACTGTTTCTGAAATTTTCCTCTTCACATTTATAAACTACAGGTGATAACAGATGATTAAATCCACAGAACCCCAAACCACAGAGGAGGCTACTGTCCTAGCTGTGTTCTCAGTTTTCTGCCTCTGTGAGATAGTAGGGGTCATGAGGTCAGCTGTGTGTGCCATGGTCACTACTGCCTGGTGGTCCAGAGCAATGGGCATTAGGGTCAGCCTCCCATAACTGTATCAGAGTCACACGTCAGGATCAGCCTCATTTCCACGTGACTGCCCAGCAAACCTGTGCTAAAGCCCCTCCTCACGCGTGTGGACCCCCGACCTCAGCACTCCTCCTGCTGCCCCACGTGCCAGGCACGCAGCCTCTTCAACCTCAGGCAGGCCTGGCGTTAACACCACTGTGAGCCTGGGACGATTTTGTGTTTGCTTTAAAAGTCTCCAAGCAAAATCTCAGCTTGTCTGAATCAGGAAATGACCAAGGTGCAAAAAAAAAAAAAAAAACTAAGCCAAGATCACATGGCCAGACATGAGCTCATTTTTGTTTGGAGTTTTAAAAATCATTGTACAGGTTTTTGTTTTTGTTTTTTTAAGATCTATGTATTTTTATTGGAAAAGCAGATTTACAGAGGAGAGACAGCAAAGGAAGACCTTCCATCCACTGGTTCACTTCTCAAATGCCACAGTGGCTGGAGCTGAGCTAATCCGAAGCCAGGAGCCAGGAGCTCATGGCATCAAGATTTCAGCACGAACTTGGAAGTTCAGGGACATGATCTCCTGTGTCAGCAGAAAGTAAAAAACGGAGATGTTCTAAGTCACCCTCTCGTTTTGCTGCCATGGCGTTGCGGTATCAAGCTAGCTACGCCTCCCCTTAGGGGTCACCCATCCTCTGGTTCTGTGCTGCGGGCAGGATCTTGAGTCTCTGTCACTGACTCCCGGGGGACAGCTCCTCAGGACCGGTCTCACGTCCAGAACGGGCAGGGATTGTTCCTCCGGGGTGGGCAGCAAGCCTTCTGTTGCTCGTTTTCCGCTCCGAGGAGCCCATCCCACTGCCAAATGCCTGCTTTGTCTTTGACATTCTTAAGCCTACCCTGCCTCTAAAAATTAGTCTAATCTGTCAGTCCCCAGTTCCAGCTGTGTGCCTCAGCTTATTCCAGAACCAGCAGAGATAATCTTGTGTTATGAGAAACCAATTTTGTTTCTGGATAATTCTGTAGAGGCAGATTGACCCTGATAGTTCTGCTCAGCAGAAAGTAAGTTCTGGACCAACGCACACACACTCCCTTCTACCTGTCTGTTCCCCAGGAGAGATCAGAAAGCTGGGACGGGGGAGGATAGTGTGTGGCATAACAGGATAATCCTTCACCAGCTGCTGTTGGCATCCCAGACGGGCACTGACTTGCATGCTGCTTGCCCAACTCCTCATAGAGCAGATCCCTGCTTATGCCCTAGGAAAGCAGTGGAGGATGGCAAAGCCCTTGGGCCCCTGCAGCCATGTGGGAGACCTGGAAAGGGGCTACACCCAGCTCTGGCTATCGAGTGAACCAGCAGATGGAAGAGCTTGCTCGCTCTCTCTGTCTCTCTCTCTCTCTCCGACTTTACAAGTAAAATAAATAAATCATTTTAAAGAAAGAAAGAGAGGAGGAGAGAGGAAGCTTGGTGAGGACTTTTGTGTATTATCTAGGGGGAGCCCAGACAGGCAGCAGGTGCGGCTGCGTGTGGGGAATGGTCAGCCACTCTCGGGCATCCTGGGCAGCAAAAGCTACAGAGACTCCTTCCGGTTCCCATCGATGAGCATGAATTCCAAGTCGCTGTTAGTCATCGGCCCCCGGTCACTGCAGCCCCGCAGCTCACGATGGCCCTTTGGTTCTTAAAACACCACCAAGTGCTTGCTCTGTGCCGTTGCTGCCAGCCTGCCAGCCCTGGCTGCTCCCGGGGTCACTAAGACTGGCTCCACCCACCCTCCTTGTCTGATTCATGGGAAAGGCTTGTCATCTGTGTCTGTGCCCATGTGTTTCAGAGAGAGAACCAACTGGAAGAGTTTGTCAGGAGGGGGAGATGTCACTGGATACGCAGGAATGGAGTAGGCAGCAGACAGAGATTCAAGGTTTTTTTTTACAGCTCCCATGAATTCTTTTCCTGACTTCAGGTATCTTGAGTTAAATCGATGACTTGGAGCCTGGTGAGAAGTAATATATCTTTGCAAAAGTTTGGTTGCATTTACAGCTAAGAAACAGAGCTCATTAGTGTCAAGTGACTCTCCGGTTCTTCTGGGTTCTCAGGTAACAGCAAATCCGAGCGAGAACAGAAGTGTTGGAGTGAGAAGGGCTTACAGCTGGAGTTTTCCATAGGCCCTGTGCGTAATTGGTTACTCCGGGAGAGCTGAGGAAGGAGTAGCTGTTCCCAGGCACTAATGGGAGCAGCTGAGTAGATTGAGCGCTGCAGCTGCAGTGAAGGAACGCTGGACCTCCGTACCGCACAGGCAGCACAGTGAGGCTTATGTATCACCTCATCAGCTGCACGGAGGACTGCATTGTTGGAATGGCAGGTAGTGGCACTGCTGCCTGAACTTCCATAGCATCAGAGTTTTGAAGTGGATTTGCCTTCAGCTTCCCAGTGGTCACTGTTTGCCAAGATGGTTATACTTTCCTGAATCCAGCAACTCGGATAGTGGAAGCACTGGACTCAGTTAAACACCCGCGGCTCTGAGCAGCTAAGGGCATTTGCTCCTTCAGCCACTG